GTATTTGACCGGAGCTTCTACCTTCGATTTGTGTTAACCAGGAATTGAACAACCGGCCCGTAGTCAAGCTGAACAAGAAAGTTGTTCTCTCTAAGCACGAAGCATCAGAAAGTCCAATAAAGCTCGCCAATAGTTTCACACTAATGCCAATTGGAAATGCCAAGTGAACCCAAGTCGCTTTCCAATTATAGAGTATGGCTTTTATACGACAAAAGATGACTTCACTTTGCAATTGCCTACTCAGTCCAAAGTAATACTCGTTGGCAAGAGTGATCCCACATTGGATTACAAAGCTGATGAGGTGTGATATGTACATACATACATACTTAACTACACATTTTGTGAATACAAAATTGTGTGATAAATTTGGTACAATGTTTGTAGGTTAGGTTAGGTTATCTTGGCTGTCCTAAGCCCGTACAGGAAAAGGGTACACTTAGGTCACCATGGGTCCGTTGTGATGCCATATTAGAGACTTCTTACGTCCCTCCTCTTACCTTAGAAATGGAACCACTTCGTAGCTCTGATGAAGCGCACAAAGTCGCACAGACCAGCGAAAAATTGGAAACAAAAAATAATGGAGGAACGAGCGTCGACGACCTCTCACCAAAGCGGGATAGTGGCAATGCCCCATGTTTTCGATTACCTCCGCATTACGGCAGCTACGACAGTAGTCGTTTGACTGCAAACCCATTCTAGCAGCGTGGATTTCCATCTGGCTGTGCCCGGTGCAGTGATCTCTCCAAGTGGAGCAGTTGGGGAGACCTACGCTTATTCAACTTGGGCCAGATATGTGTTGCTATCCTGCACGTAGGCTCCGAAGACCGAATTGTATTTGCCCGTTCGATAAAGTTATTCTCCGCACAGAGTTTGAATTAAGATAGCAGATTGCTCGCATTACGTGCTGTACTTATTGCAGAAAGTAAGTTTCCATTCCTTGCTAGTTCACCTGCAACACAGTTGCCCGGCCTGACACCCATACAACATTAGTGACGTAACACCTGCTCATTTAGAGTACGTCCACATTCTATGACAATATTCGATGTAGATTTATCAAAATTAAGTGCTTTAATAGCTGCCTGGCTATCAGAAAAGATAGTAACCGCATGCATACTAATAAAATACAATGTTTTTAAGTATCAGAACAAAAAAAGAGATAGCTCCATGAAAAAGTGCCAGCACGAAGAGCTGAGTCGGATAAACCTAAGTTTTAATGCTTGTCAAGAGAAACGCGCTTGGCTTTCTGTCTCCGATTTTAACTCAATTACTTAGATCCATTGAATTTCGCTTAATAACTTCAGCCTTTAAGTTAAGGTACAAGTTATCCATATCAGTTAGCTCCCCTCCCCAATGAGCCAGCTAATTTCTTTCGTCGTCTTTGTTTGGCATACAATTAATTTGTTATTTACGATATAGCATTTTATGTTGTTGGCAGCAGCGTCCACGTTATTGTAACGGCTAATTCATTCATTGGAAACTATGATGCACACTACTTACATACATACATACATACATACTACTATATACTCCTATTGCCTAGAGCAGTTTAGTGCAAACTGTTTACTGTTTTCACGTAGTACCAGCTACTGGCCCGCACATTTTCCACTTCCTTTGCTTTACGCTCAAAATGGATGAGTGTCGTTGTCGGCTGCTAGCAACCTAATGTGTTTTCCTGAACTTTTTCCTTGTTGGTAACTAGGCTCTCATTGTCGTTGTTGTTGATATGTACGAGTATATATGGCGGTATGTATGAATGTGTGTTTGTATGTAGTTATTATGTGACTACGGACAAGTTTATTGCGCCTCAAAAATACGCACGTAAGGCCCTTTGGATTGTCCTCAACCAAGTCAATGTAAATAAATGTATTCAATGTTGTTGCTAATTTCACAGTGTTATTGTTGTTGTAGGTGCTTTTTGAACGTGTTTAAAATAATTTTCAAAATGTGTTAACGCTGGTGTTTGACATTTAATTAGTTTGTGAGTGGAATACGAAATTTTGTCGCGTGATCAGCCCTATGTCAAATTTACCGCAGATGCTTGGACTACGAGTTCATATGTACACTAATATAGTGCTAATCATAACTATACGACACGCACATATCGGCAAGTTTTGACTATTTATTTTATTGTTTTTATAAAAATATAGTTTATTCTTTCACAAAAACCATATAAATCCCAGTTTTGATCCTTGTGCAATATATAAAAAAAACAACTCAACAAACTTGCGTAAAATTTTCGACTTTTTAATTAGATTTCTTGGAAATACTTTATAAGTATGCTGTGCAAACTGCAAGTTTGAAGTAGCTAGGGCTTACATTTGATTTTTGAAAATTTTATTTTGTTGAACGTGTTGCTCATATTTCCCATATAAAAAAAATCCTAGAACAAAAAAAAAATTACCAGAAATTAAAAGTAACACCTACATGATCCATTTTTCTCTTTCTCGGAAATGAAATTTGGAGCCGCCTGTATACTCCAAATATTTCCAAGAAATCTAATTAAAAAATAAAAAATTTTTACAAAACTTTTTTTGATTTTCTTTAAGTTTGAAACTTGGATCATTTTACGGTTTTTGTTAAAGAATAAATTTCATTTTATAAAAAGAAAAAATAACAACGTAAATAGCCAAAACTTCTCAATATGTAAGTGTCGTGTAGTAACGGTTACATACATTTAAGGCATATATACGTAAGTACATACATACAATTTCATTTAGAAATTTCGTACAGATATATCACTTACACATTTGAATACCTGCATGCTCTCTTGTTCGTCTCACGATAACCGTTGCTACACAAATACGAGCACATCCATACATAGTATGTATAATACAATAATTCTGTGCAGCCACTTGCATTCATTTGCAAAAGCTCAGAATCCTTAAGCTCATACATTTATACAATCATAAACCTACATTCATATATACATACACACATACAGTCATGGCCACATAATTAGGAAAAAGACTTCGTTACAAGTATCGACTATTTATTTTTTCTTTATTTATTTTGAATTTATTTATTTTTACCAAAAGTACAGTTTACACCATAACACAAACAAAGTATATAACTCATGCCCGGTTTCACCAATCAATTTTAAAATTTATCAGACTGATAAAATTTAAAATGACAAATTTTCCAAATAAATTTTAACAAGCTGATAAATTTTAAATTGATTGGCGAAACCGGGCATTAAAGTTTCAAATTTTCTACAAGATTTATAAAAACCGCCAAATTTAAAAAAAAAAATGTCATAAAAATTGCAAAATTTTTAATCAGAATTTCAGACTGATAAAATTTAAAATGGCAAATTTTCCAAACAAAAGTATGTGATTCCAAATTTTAACAGGCTGATAAATTTAATATTGAATGGTGACACCGGGCATAAAAGTTTCAAACTTTTCCATTAGATTTATGAAAAAATTGCCAAATTCAAAAATAGGGCCTTAAAAATTTCAAAAGTTTTTATCAGAATTTTTGAGGATTTCCTCTGCTGACGGCGTTCCTCAATTTCTTCCATGCAAAGTATGTTCGGAAATTTTTTTTATCTGAGTAAATGAGCAACACCGTCAGCAAAAAATTGCTCTAAAATCAACGCGTTTAAAACTTGCACAATATTGTACTAAAATTTAATGCGCTATAGGCTACAAACCCGAATTTTTCTACAAATTCTGATTAGAAAGTCTGAAATTTTGATGAGCATTTTTTTTATTTGGGAACTTTTTAAAGGTCTTGTGCAATGTTTGAAACGTTGAGTTACTTGTCAATAAAATAAATAAATGGTTGAAACTTGTCCCCAATTATGTGACCCCCACTGTATATAATTTTAATGCTTGTAGGCAACCTGCAGCATTAAATTTACTTCAATGCGTTCATGCGTAAGTGTGAACACAAGTACATACTACTCTCTTGTTCTTGTTCTTGTGTTTGTACACTTGAACCATTGGCCATTGTTCGTGTTGTGTTGTGTTGTGTTGTGTTGTGTTGTGTTGTGTTGTGTTGTGTCGTGTATGCTCTCACATTTGTCGGTCTTGTCGTTGTTGTCGGTATTATTGGTGCTTTTGTTGCTTTCGTGTGTGCTTACCTGTTGCCGCTGCTAATGATAAATACGTGTTGAGTATGGCACGCTCTTGGCCATTGCCATCGGCCAACACTGAATTAAAGCTTGGCCAATACACATACAGGAACAATGTACCGACCATGGCAAAGATGTCCGATGCATAATTGGCTCCTTCGTATTTGCCTGCTTCGTTTTGGTCCTTGCCCGGGCGCAACATTAGACTAACAGCCAAGCCAAAGTATGCACCGAAGGCATGCACTGTAATTGAACCACCAACATCACAGATCTGTCCGTGGGTGAAGATGGAGAAAGAGGAAAAATAAAAAAGAAAAATAAAAGAGTAAACAAGTATTTATTTCTTTTGGAAAAAAGTGTTTACAGCCAGCGAGTAAAAACAGCTGCATAATAAATAAATACAAAAAAAAAAGTCCTGCATCTTTGGTAAGTAGCAGCTGGTCGTCAGCTTTGTGTGGCAAAGCGCTTTTGAAGAAGGGCTTTGGCTATTTTTCAACGAACTACGCACACTTTGCTTTTGCACTCACTATTTAGTTGTAAAAAAAAGTCTAAATAAACACATTCAACTTTAAATGAGTATACGTTTAGTGCTATGTATATATTTAGTATGATTTCCCTCTAGGAAATAATACACTGAAAGCAGTTTTTGTAATTTTCTTTTTAAATATGTATGTGAAGGAGTATTTTAGTTTGCTGTTAGACGCAATAGGCGATATACCCGTAGACTCCCAAAAAAATTCTGTACTTGACTTTTGCTGAAATTTTTTTTTCTTTAACAACCATCTTTAATTAACTACTTCAAAGAAAGGTCAACAAGATCCATTTTGGTAGGACATAAATATTATTATTTCTAATAGAATTTTGTGTAGAACTTTTTAGGCTCTAGCTTCCATTTTTAATGAATTTTAATTGCACTTCTTTGAACAAGCGTTAATAAAACCCGTTATGGTAGGAGTTAATGGGTTTAAAAGTTCTAAAAATTCGGTTGCGATTCCAAGTAAAACCCCTAAAATTATTTATGGTTCCAATTTTTCTCCAAGATTATGCGATTGATTTCGTATATCTCCATACGAAGTTCCAGAACTCTACCATGAACACTTCCAGAGATATGGAGTATGAAAAAATTCGGTTTGTATTGGAGGTGCCACGCCCCCTTTACATATAGATTTTTTTTTAGCCTACAACCATCCTTGGGACACATGCGGCAGGTGTCTGAAGTTTCAAAAAAATCGGTTCAGCCAATCTCGAGCCTTGCGAACACTAATAAAACGGCTTTCAAAATATATATAAGTATAGATATAAATAATCTCCATATCAATCACAAAACTTAGAGTAATAAATTCTTTTACCATGAATCAAGTGTCATGTTATAAGTATCACATTACTATATTATTATTTAGATTAGTGAGTAAGTCACCTAGCCACCGGGATCAAGGACGATCTATTGTAACAGGCCTCCGTTAAAATTGCTTTTATTAATCTTACAAAACCTACTGGAGACGATTGTTGATGCCTGTAGCAGCTATCTTGCTGATCTTAAGATATCTTTTGAGGATATTGAAATATTAAATCTGACCGCTGAAACAAGATTTTGCCGCTGAAGCTATTTTGACTGCAGCTTCGGATTCAGTGCGTCAAAACCCTTCAATAAAGGATAGTCTATTTTGTGATTTGAAAATTTTGTCTGCCTGTGTTATTGGAAAATGGAAGCTGCCAACATAAAGTATTTAAATAAGAACTTAAGTTATGAAAGATTAATGGTCATTGAATCTGCAAGAATGCACGATAGTAGTTGAAAATATCGGCTCCTTAGAAACGTTACAAGAAAAAAGTGTATTGACGAATTATCTCAAGAAACAATGAATTCGACTTCAAGAGGCCTTCTATGGGCTGTGGACTGTCCTACTTGAAACATGACGAGCCGATTTGATTCTTTCAACAAACTTGAATTGACATGTTTTTTTTTTTTTGGGGGGGGGGGAAATATCTGGAGGTAAATGGGGTAATCCTGCAAAAGCAAGCAATCTCATATAACAAATTCGAAACTTTAGTATTAGAATCTTCTCTGAAACGTACCATTGATTTTGAACCCGTCATCTCTATGTTGGCTGATCGAAAAGCTCAAGATTTTCTCAACTAAATTCATGTAATTATGGAACAATGCTTCTAGAAATTTTCCTTTCTCAATTTTACAAGAGCCATGTTGAAGAAGACCGTTCTTTTTACCTACTCGTCGACATCAAAATCTATAGCCATTCTGCCCTCAAAGCATATACTAGGGATGACCTACCTGATGCGGAATAGTTGTAGCTAATATGCTTCGCAATTGCTTCATTGGATCCAAGTTGTTATTTCAGCAGTGGCTTCATCAATAATAGCCTAACATATAAAATCTTGACTTGGTTGACCGTGTGAGTACTAGCAGAAATTCGATTGCCAATGCTTCGTTGGGAGCACCAATACCCGAAACAATTGCCAATAAAATTCATAGTGGGTGGAAGTGTGGCCAGAAATTCTTTCGATATTTCACTAAAATACTTTAATTTTTTGGTAACAAAAAAAGGTTTTGTAGGAGTTTAAAAAACATTTCCTTTGGGGTTTTCGTGCAATAATCATAACGCAACCTAAAGGGGAAAAGTTGCCAAGTCCACTTTTTCAAAATTTAGTTTTAGATCTGCAGAATGACAGATAATGCCAAACAACATCGAATTTTCGTCTTTACTGAATAATTAAAAAAAAAAATGGACTTTGCACCTTTTCACCTTTAGGTAGCGATAAGCTGCCGCTTTGAGCGCCCGTCATATTCAATAGTTTAGAGTGTGTCAGATTATAAATGCTTGAAATTGTTTATCAAAATGAATATGCTTAGTACCGATATCTGGAGCGATATCTACATATTTTTTTTATACAAAAACTCTTTTGAATACGGAAAGTACTTTGTTTTTGTGGTTTGTGGACACGAGTCTCAAAATCAGCCGTATTTCCCATTCGGTTTTATACATACATACACAGCTATGTACTTCTTGCTTTATTCTAGTTGTGCTTTACATACATATAATTTTAGTACATATGTACATATATATGTATGTATTTGTTTATGTGTGCTATACTCATACACAAGTTAAGAGGCGTTCAGTTAATCGGATTTAAAACAGGTACTTTGTGTCGAGGCTTTGCGCTGCAAACATATTTATAAATATACTAGTATCCTATGCAAGGTCTAACAGGGATGTTTTTAAAGTGTTGCAACTTACGCAAAGGTAAAATAATTAACGAGCTTTTCTCTTATTATTTGTTCATTTTTTATAATGAAATTACATCTCGCTTGTTGGTATGTGGAAGTGCTTTTAAAACAAACACGAACTTCAATGACTTTAAGCAACTCGAAAAATGAGTACGCTATTTGCGCTATTTAAATACTTAACAAAGCTTCACAAAATTTAACTAAAAGTGAACAAATTTTTGGCTAGTAGCACGGGTATTGGTAACAGTGGACTAAGGGGAATAAGCTTGTCGAGTCTCATTTCATATGAAATGTGGAAAAACGATTTAAAACATTCACTGTAAATACGGGTAACAAATGGAAGAGGACATTCTGTAGAATTTGAAGGATTTAATTTTTTTGGTGCTCATCGACGAATTGGTATTGAAAGGACCTTTTAAAATTGTATCCTTAAGTATACTTGAAAATATCTATTATTTATTTAAAAAAAAATTATACGTCAAGGGACAACATATACACGACCATAGCCTCCAATTTATTTTTTCAAACTTTACCAGTTAAGGGTAAAAAAAATTAATCAAAATGGCATATTCAATACCTATTCGTCCTTGTGAACCAAAAAAAAAGTAATTTTTTTATTTCAACAGAATTTTCTATTTCATTTGTTACCCATGTTGTTATTCCACGTTGCACTGAATTAAAAAAAAAAAAATTTTAAATAATCATATCTCATATACAAACTAAAAACGCAGTTCTACTACATATATTTGACCCCTAGTTTCCTTATTATATTTTTGTTTTTACAGCACGGTGTTATCGCACACACTTAAACCATAAAAGGTGTGTTTTGTGGTATCTAAATTTGGTCCACAGGTAGTTAAAGAATAGTCTCTACCTGTAGACTTATTTCCCTTCCTCGGCTAGGTCTTCGCGATAATAACCTTCCTAGCCTCCTAATCCACCATGTAGCTTAATTCAATCTTACTAGGGAGCAGGTATTCCGTGAGGAATTACCCTACATATTCTCGAAAGAAGAACCCTACTTCGATCAGTCCGCAAAACTTACAAACCACCGTTTAAAAGTTTACTAATGGCTACTTCCAACTGCTGTCTCCCACTTGAATATCCTTTCAAAGAATTAGTTAAGTTTCATTGCGAGTGGTACACTTAAAAATTTCATATTGTTTTCATTATGTCACCACTTAATAGATTTTTCCATGGATATCCACTCAGCTGATGCCTACTCTAGAGAGTTCCCCGCGAGAGTTGCTGAAAGCAGGACAGCTAATAAAGAAGTAATGCACAACAATGCTCCTAAACGATATTGAGTGGTACCGCATGTGTCCCTGATTTACTGTACACTGTCAGAACACCAGACAGCGCGAGAGTTGGCGCTTCGCCAGCTGCAGGATTTCCCTTGAACTTCTGCAGTCTATACCGGTCGAAGGACTTCGCAACCTTGCATACCGGAGTTTTCGCCCATATAATAAGGAGTAGGTCACGGATTCCGACAGAAACTTCTTCCTCCTAAGAGATGACTTCAATAGCATGATGTTTAACTGTGTCCTTTGATTTGATAGTAATCCTATAGAGGTAGAGATTCGGTCTTATCATCACGTAACTTAAGAGCCTTGATTGTTTAGCAGAGAGCCAAGTAGAACGCCACCGATCGAGAGAAGCTTAGCAATGGGCACCTTATATCGCCAAGGGAAGGACACCTCGACAACCCCTCTCAGTTATGCAGTGATAATGCCATCTAGTCCCGGAGACTTGAAGGGCTTAAAAGAGTCAATCGCCCAGATGAGGACCGCGCAGTCCTCAACGCAGCACTGCTATATTAAAACGGTGCAGAATTTTCTAAGAAATCGCCATCGAGGAGTAGTTAAAGCGATGCTTCTTCGCCGGTCGCCATCTTCAAGAATTTTAAGGGAACATAATTCTTTACAAGGATGCGCGTGAATCGCGAGCTTTTGCAGAGTTCCCCAAACACTCGCGTTTGGCCTTTCTTACCGCGGACTTAGAGGCATCGAGTCCGACCTTGTAGAGTTCCTAATCGTAATGTATCTAAATAATCTTCCTAGCTTTATTAAAAATATGTCTTCTGAGCTCCGAGAGCTCCATCGTCCACCAGTTCAGTTTAACTTTGTCCCAATTTAGACGACTACTATCGTATGAATTTATCAATGCATACTTACACTAAATATATTCAAAGCGACATATTCGTTTGCCGCGAACAGCACAATTTCTATGAGAGCCATGAATAGCAATTGAATTGGTGTGGTACGACCCAATAAGGCACCCATACTAATCAATGGAGCAGCAGCTGCAATATCTGCATCAATTATACTCTCCAGCGATAAGCTGCAACGAAACAAAAACAAAACAAAAAACAAATTATGCGGGAAAACATTTAAAATAAATATATAGAAATATTAAACAAAGAATAATGGAAAAAAGAATTGAGTGGTTCATAACAAGAAAAATGTGAAAAACATGTCAGAGTTGAGACTTTTACGCTCGCGGCACATCATGATTGAGATGTAGCAGGATATAAAGGATGCAAGCAAATTTAATATGTTGGCTGAGAAAAGAAAAGGAGACTATGGTGGCTGTGTCGCTATAAGCCTGCAGCAGCGCTGAGTAGATGAAACCACTGATAGACAGTGCATTGTACAAACAAGTATACAGCTACATACATACATACATACATACATATGCACGCGTATAATGCGATAACAGCAACAGTTGAAAGGTGCTTGCTAGACACCTGCACAACGGGTACGCGTGCCCGTGTTCGCTCTGTTGAAGTTAAATCAACAGATTGCAGCTTTGGCGTATATGAAGACAAAGCGCTTTGTGTTGTAGGTGCATAAATACACACACACACAAACATACATATGTACCTACTTACATAGATCGCATAGATTGGCATTTCTTATTATCTTCGGAGACTAATACGAAGTTATTTCCATTCGCGAGTGTTGTGGTACGAAACGGAGGAGGGCCTGCAACGGGCTGAGATAACAGGTGGCGTTCCACAAGGATCCGTACTAGGACCCTTGCTATGGAACATTATGTATGATGGAGTTCTCCGTACCGAATTGCCTGAGGGATCATCCATAGTGGGTTTTGCAGACGACATTGCGGTAGTAGTGTCTGCGAAACTGCTTGATGTCATATGCGAAAAGGTAGCATCATCAGTCGGTGTGATTAATAGCTGGTTAAATAGCTTCGGCCTGAAGTTAGCCGAGCAAAAAACAGAAGCAATACTTATCTCGAGTCGTAAGAAACTAGAGGAGGTAGCGCTAAAAATTGGCGACCACACCATCACGACGAAACCCACAATTAAATACCTGGGAGTGGTGCTAGACAAGCGTCTTACTTTCAGCGCCCACCTGAGCTTTGTGAGAGAGAAAGCAGCTTCAACGATCACGGGACTATCGCGAATAATGCTTAATACGCGAGGACCGAAACAGCGCAGGCGTTTACTCTTAGCGAGCGTGGTTAAAAGCCAAATACTGTATGCGGCCCCAATTTGGTCAAACGCCGCACAGTGTCCAGCATACTTCCGCGGAGTCAACTCAACATACCGTTTATGCGCGCTCCGAGTTTGCAGCGCCTTCAGAACAGTGTCGGACGAAGCAGCTTTCGTAATCGGCAGTATGATACCCGTAGATATACTAGCAAGAGAATCAACGGTCCTTGTATCCACGCGGCGTACTCTAACTCAATTAGACCGACATCAAGCCCGGCAAAGCAGCGTTACGGAGTGGCAAAACAGGTGGAATAGTACGACTAAAGGTCGTTGGACCTATCGGTGCATACCAAACCTGGTATCCTGGCTTAATAGAACGCATGGCGAAGTAGATTTTTATCTGAGCCAGTTCTTGAGTGGTCATGGCTGTTTTAAGGCATACCTGTTTAAATTCAAACATGAGCACGACCCCTACTGCGACTTCTGTCTAAGTGGCGTGGAAGAAGATGTCCACCACGTATTCTTTGAGTGCCCTCGTTTCCATCGGCAGATGAACCAACTTAAACTTGCCGTTGGAGGGGTGTTTACGCCACAGTCAGTAGTCGACTATATGGTGAAAGGAACCAGCGAATGGGCATCAACCAGCGATAAAATAACTTCGATTTTGAAGGAACTGAGGGACCTAGAGAGACAGCGGCGTATCAGCCGTACTTAAGCCAACTCTTAGCATAGCCGCGGACTGGAACTAAACTATGATGTTCGCCAACCAAAGCGTAGGCGCGGACTGGAACCTAGGCCGTTCCAGCCGCTCGAGCAGTGCGGCTTAGAAAGTTGTGCTTTCAGACCGCACCTTGAACATGAAACCTAACAATTACAGCGCATGCGCGGACTGGAACCTAGGGCGTTCCAGCCGCTCAGGTGGCAATCTCGAAATTTTGTGAAATCGATAAATACGCGCGGACTGGAACCTATGGCGTTCCAGCCGCCCAAGTGGCAATATCGAAAAACTATTGCAATCGAAAATAGGCGCGGACTGGAACCTAGGGCGTTCCAGCCGCTCAGGTGGCAATCTCGAAAAAATTTTTAAATCGATAAATATGCGCGGACTGGAACCTAAGGCGTTCCAGCCGCCCAAGTGGCAACCTCGGAAAAATTTTTGCAATCGAAAATAGGCGCGGACTGGAACCTAGGGCGTTCCAGCCGCAAATAAAGTACAGTTTCGAATTTCGTCCACACGGGGCGTTTGTGCGGATTGGAACCTAGACCGTTCAAACCGCAAAGGCAATATACATACGTATGCGGGCTTGAAACTCGTCGCATAAGGCAGTTTAAGGTATTTTGCTCTTACTGTCTATAAAGGCGAAAATGATAAGTTGTATCTAAGAGATAAATGAATAAATAAATAATAAATAAATAGTTAAAAAAGGGTAATTATCCTTAAACAAGACGTGGCAAAGCTTACCAGGCGTAGCCCAGGACTGAGTACAACCGACTGGAACGAACGTG